CGTAAATAAAACGTTTTGTGCTCGTGTTCTTCTAAACGTTAATGATGGTGGGTCATGTAGTGGTAGTCTATATCGTCCTATCGTCCGTCGCCGTTACTGTGGATCTCATTTCTAGTTAAAGAACAACTAGTTTTGTATTTATCGTTAGTAATGGATAAAAAGCTCTCACAGCAGGATGCGGGTCATGTTTTATTTATTTGACCAACAATTATTAAAAAAAAATAAAAAAAGATTAGAACGATAAATGACTAGGTAGTGTGTGTAGTAAATATCTAAAGGATAATTAAACGAATGCGGATTCCAAAAAGTACCTACATCGGTACACTCTAAAAATCTATGTCTAAAATTGTGTGAAAACACGTTTTTTGGATATTGTCCATACACTAAAAGAGTTACAAATTATTGATAACTTTTTTCCATTCATTCAATCAATCGAATATACGTAATGACTGACTAACTTACTCATATAATGCTGTCCCAAAAAAAATTAATAAAAAAATTGCCTAGGTCTCTTCTACACCTACAGTTCTACGTTCTACTCTATTACTATCGATGCAGGTGTCAATTTATGCACCAAAAAAGGAAAGAAAATGAGAGTATTCAAGTAAAAACAGTTTGGTTTTTATAATTATAATTATTTTATACTACAAATTGTACCTAATGCTGTCCCAAAAGTATAAATGTAAAAAAATAGTCGGGGTCTCTTCTGCACTAAAATGTTTCATCATCAAAAACAAAAAATTACGTTCAAAGAAGGTGTTAAATTATGCACTACAAAAATGTAAACAAATGATCAGGACCTAGGTTACCATTTTATATTTTAATGTGATTAATATATATAAAAAACCGTGATAAGTTGCCATCTACACCCAACAAAAATCGTTTTACTTTTGGTATATACGAGGGTGGATTGATAAGTTTCCGGCCTGACCAAGAAAAACAAGGTTTTTAAAAATTTTTTTTTTTATTTTCTCAACATAATCTCCTCCAAGGCTGATACATTTCTCATAGCGGTGTTCCAGTCTATTAATGCCATCTCTATAGACTGATTCGTCAAGCTCCTCAAAATAACCATTTACAGCTTCGATTACTTCTTCATTGTCCGCAAATCTCTTACCGCCAAGCCATTTTTTGAGATTAGGGAACAGAAAATAGTCACTCGGGGCTAGGTCTGGAGAGTAAGGAGGGTGCGGCATCAATTCAAACTTTAGATCGTTGATTTTAGCCGTCGCAACGATTGACGTGTGCGCTGGTGCGTTATCGTGATGAAACAAGATTTTTTTCTTCGCCAGATGAGGTCGTTTAATTTTCACCTCGTGGCTCAAACGTTGCAATAAGTCTGCGTAGTATTGACCAGTGATAGTATTACCCTTTGCAAGGTAATCAATGTATATAATACCTCTTGCATCCCAAAAAACAGTAGCCATAACCTTGTTCGCCGAAAAAATTGTTTTTGCCTTCTTTGGAGTTGGTTCCCCTGGTCCAATCCACTGTTTAGACTGTTCTTTGGTTTCAGGAGTGTAGTGGTGGACCCACGTTTCGTCAACGGTTACGAATCGACGCAAAAATTCGCTTGGATTACGCTTATACAATGACAAATTTGCGGTAGAAATGTTTTTTCGAATCAATTTTTGGTCGACTGTTAGCAAACGCGGCACCCATCTTGCACAGAGCTTTTCCATATGCAAATGTTGGTGCAAAATATGTTGCACACGTTCATATGACATCTTACAGGTCTCAGCTATCTCACGCACTTTCAATCTGCGGTCTCCCAGCACTATTTGATGAATTTTTTCGATCATATCTGGAGTTGTGACCTCAACGGGGCGTCCTGAGCGAGGCCCATCAGAGGTGCTCACACGACCCTTTTTAAACTCGGAAACCCACTGCTTAACGGTTGAATATGACGGGGAGGATGTCCCCAGTGTTGAGTCCATCTCTTTTTTAATTTCCTTCGGCGTTAACCCCTTCAAATAAAAGTATTTGATGACAGCACGATTTTCCTGCTTTTCCATTTTTACGAAAACCACAGAGGCGTCTTGTTCAGCGTGCTGTCAAACCTACACTAGCAAGGAGATCGGGCTGAAACTATAGCTACAAGCTATCCAAGGATGGTACTATAGAATGTCACCTCAAGGTAGGCCTAGTGGCGTCATCTCTTGGTTAGGCCGGAAACTTATCAATCCACCCTCGTATATATACGTCGTAGCTAATGTGGTATCTTAAAATCGCACTTTTTATAATGGCAAAGCATTTTCAGAAAATAAGTATTAGGAGAACAGGGGGCGCTATTAAAAGTCAACGAAAAGTAGACAAAATTAGTTAATATTAGAAACGTATTAAAAGCAAGAACAGGAGTACAGAGATCACTGTTCACAGATAGTTGTGGATATGCGGCGTTTTAGTTTTAGGAAAATGTGAACATCGCCCCAAAGGTAGATTCGTATCCAACCTGTTTTTGAAGTGAGGAGCCTGCAATTGTTCCCTATACGGGGAATTACTAATTTATGGCTAAATTTTTTGTTACAGAAAGATGCAGGTACATTTTCCGAAAAGGCAAGACAAATTAGAAGTGATTAAATAAAAAAAAATAGCCTTCCTGTAAGCTACGAAACATCCACATTAATGCCTACCTAATTCCAAGTACTGCTTATTGCTAAGTCAGTTCCTGCATTAATATTAATGATTCAAGTACATCCGTAAGCACACTTCTTTATACCTTCTGGTACCGTTACTGATTTGCATGCCCACTTGCACTTAGCGTTTATCCACACTGGACATATTCCTTTGCAAAGATAGTAAGCTTTATACCTACCACGTAAAAACTTTAATTAGTACGAATTAATTAAATGAAAGAATCATAAAATATGTAAATATTGTGGAAAAGCATTTTTTTGTTTATCAAGAAAGTCAACAATTTAGGCAGGTGCCTACTTGGTAGGTATTACCTATCAGGAAAACAGAACATATTACCTGCCTAACAATAACGGGTTTGTGTAAAGGGAATAAATACAGAATTTGAAACATAAAAATCTTTATTTGCTGCATGCATACAACTTATTGATCATGGTCCCGGTCTGCACCAACTACTGGTATCTACCATGTAGAAATAACATTGCTCACAATTCTTAACAAAAGCGATACGGTAGATTCAACTTTGTTGACTTTTTTTAGTGACTTTTTACCTGCTCTACCTTATACCCTGCGTACCTATTACATCTATGTATGTGAGTTACAATGATAATATTGCGAAACTTAGGCATATCGGAAGTACTGATCAACAGGTAAAAATTTAATTCAATGCAGTAAAACACCTGCCTAAATTTTATGGACCCATTTAATACGAATATAGAAGAAAAGAATGATATTAGTATCTTTTGCTCTTTTTTTATTCCTTGAAGGTATATTACCTCATTACATGACGATAAACCCACACAACCGTTTTGTGAAATACGTCATGAATGGTTTGAGAAATATTAAATCTTTTCTTAATTATCAGCATTTATATAAATAATGGGAAATAATATTCATAACTAAACCAAATTCGCTAAAAGATGGACACTAACGTAGATAATATTGCTACTAATTTGGTACATGATTTTTAATAGTAAAAATTAATCCTTTAAGCCGAGATGGATATTTTCTCGATGACGATTGCAGGTGCCTATGTAGTTGAGACTTGCATGGTGCATGTCCCACCAGTCCGCAATCTACAATACTGCGAGTTGCTTCACAAGTGCAATTTCACATTGAAAAAAGAACGTTGTAGTATAACGGTTTACTTTTTATCAATCGATTAGCATTAGTTCGGCATCAGTAAAAGCCTCAAATCGTTGAGTGTAGTATAGTAGTACGAAGTACCTTCCACCTGCCAGCAAATACGAAGTAAATTAGCAGAATTTCTCATCGGTGCTCGTTATTTCCCCTACTCAGCAGAACGCGCACTAACCACAACAGCTGCACGCTCTCTCCACGAAAAACGAACTCTTCATTCGTATCTCCTGTTACCACACGCGTGATCGTAATGTGCCGTTGCTCCGCGTGCGCAGTATTACGAGTATCCCTGCCAACTCGATCGAGAGTAAAACGCCAACGCTGTGACTAGCCTATTAATGCGATTGTTTTAGGAATGACGAATGGTGGACTTTTTAAGTAGGCCAGTCTCACTCTATCTATACCGGCCGTGGCGACCACCTTGATTGACGGATCGGCAAAAGGGACAAGGGCAACCGGTTCACGACGCCGATGCGGAGAAATCAAGTAGGCAGGTACATCCTATAAGCACTTAAAATGCCTGCGGTGGTCTGAAGCAGGGACAGGCAAAAAAGAACCGGACAGCACCACAAACCGGCTGCTGAGAGTCAACTTTCTTTTCCAATAAATAATCGCTCTCTAAGAGACGATAAAAATAGCTTTATCTAATCTACTATCGACATCATAGGATATAAACCTTTGAGAACGTTGATACATACATACATACATTACATAGTAACAAGCTTCATTAAATACAACAAAAAAAAACGAATTTATGAGTAGCAAAATATGTATACCTGTACCATATAGGTACCTCGTTCAAAAAGTCCATAAAGTATACCTACTACAAGACATGTATTCCTAATAATGTAAGTATTTATTTCAACCACTGACAATGATCATGCAACAATTACTGTAGCAATAAAACATAAAATTTTGGCAAAGGAACTTATTGCACATAAAGCCGCATCAGTACATTACAAACAGCCGCCATTTTGAATGTCCTGCACACTACGTACATAAATATAACATACCATGGAGGTAGATCCGTACCACTTCTGACTACCATATTTGATCACGGAATTTGGTCGCCGTCTACACTAAAGCCACGATATTTACAATCTCATCTTTTTAAACCGTAAATCTCAAACTGCTCACAGAGCAAAAACCAATAAAATCGAAAGTAAAATCAATTGAGTAAACATGCCAAAAAAGAACGATAAAAAAAACAACTTAAAATAACTGACCTTTTCGTAAAAAAACCAAAACCTCTTCTTTCCATCATGCGTTAAACAAAACAGAACATAAAGGTGTACGAACAGTGCGCGACGAAAACGACATTAAAAGAACAGGAACGCAAGAAGTAAACACAAAACTAAATTTTCCGAGAAAGCCTTATTTCCACACTAGCTCCAAAGCGCACACTTGCGTCCCACTCCAATCGCGATTGCGCACTAAACGGGTAAGAAACCGGTTGTCCTTCGGATCTCCAATGAGGGGCACGGTCTCCCTACCAGACGTCCCATTGGTCGTTGCAACCGTACACAGTTCGAAAATGAAGCTGGCCAAGGGAAAGAACAACATACTAAATACAAGCGTACGTGTACGCATTGTATTTCAACCGAAGAATACGTGTATGCACGCCTGATGCGACGCAGACGTCGCACCGGCGGCGGCACGAGACCGAGAAACCTTTCAAGTCCGACAGATTGACGGGCGACCATGCTATGCGAGCTTTTCGAAGAAAGGAATGGTAAAGAAGGATGATGAATCGGACGACTGTGTAGTTGTTCCGAACGCCAAGAACTGCCTGCCACTATTTGTAAGCATGGCGTTGTTTAACCTTGGATGATTTCATCGTTCCACTATGGCTATAACAGTCGTCAGGCTGAGCCACACTTAAAACAGACGCTGTTAATTTATTCTTGTTGCAAAACTCCGAACAATGGAGTGCCTACCTATCGCAAAACATAGCATGCAACGCTCATGGATGCATGCACATCTTCCCAATATCCCAGTATCAATGTATTTATCCACCTAGACTGGGGTACTCAAGTACCTAATGCATACCTCCTCACATTATCGGAATAACTTTTTTTTTTAATTCTAACCAGGCAAATGCAAATGTGGATTTATTACATCCGGGGAAAAAAACCTAAATGATCTTTTTACACTTGAAGTAATACTTCCATAACAATAACATACTTACCTACCTGGAATATGTACCACGAAAAGGTGTTACATTCAAATAAGCAGGTTATTAGGTATTAGTATTCTCATTTTGTTCTTAGTGTCATATGAAATTCTATAATTGTATTAAATGGTTACTATGTAAAGAATTACATTCTTTACAAAACAATTCCCAAGGTCAACTCTAATGCAATTTTTCTCGGTACTTTTTCAGTACGATTAATGTTAAGCAGAAAGGTAGAGGAACCTAGTGGTTAACCCAAACAGGTTGTTCAGGAATGATTATTTTTTCCATAAATTCCAATTTAGGTAACGATTTTTCGATCAGAATGTAATACCTAGAAATTTTTTAAGAACATCAGTATTCTTACTTTTGTAGGGTCTAGTGACGTCAAAAACCTGTAGAATAACAGAGACAGGAAATACAAATAGAGTGGTTGCAACTTGGAAAGCTTTAAAATTTATTTCCTCCTTCTGGCTGTACACCTAATTTATTTGTCAACAACAATTTTATGATAGATCGGATTCATGACTTATTCTCAGCCTTTTCAAAGTCTCCAACCAGCAATACTACATGCTCCCCTGATTAAAAAATCTTTATTCTCAATTATTATTAAGCAAACAAATTAGAATAGACATTCTTTAATTTCTTCATCCATAAAATAAATAATTATTAAAATATCTAATAAAAAAACTAGTTAGTATCTAGCTTAATCTCTTAATTTGTGAATTTCATCAAAAGTTGGAACATAAATTTCGATATTTCGGATTTTTATTTCTGATAAGCATTCACTTAAAACACCTAAATCTTAAAAAAATAAATTGGTGGGAGTTATATAAGTAGCTACTAGACTGTATGGACTACTACATACTTCCACCACAATGAGTGGTATAGTAACAACGTTAATATTTAAAATAACCCCACGGGAGAGGGGGGTGATATCAAATTAAGTCACAGGTCAAGAGGAACTATATCGGCAAATCGCATCTCATTTCGTTTGGACCGTCTTTTCCTACTTTAACCTTTTAGGATCTTAAGTAATAAAACAAAATTGATTCATTTATACTTGGTTCATGGCACTTCACACGTTCCAATCAAAAATTAAATATTAATGTAAAAGTTAGGTAAGATTAGAAGGTTACGTTAATTTATTTTTTTTATTTACCCTCTGCCTACTGCTCTCTACCCCTTCGCCCCCACCACCAAGTACTTTTTTAGTATTGTAAAAAAAAATGTTAAAAAAATTGCAGCCAATCTGAGTGTTTTCCTTTTCCTTGGAGCTCGACTTTTAGGACTTATCAAGAATAAAATTTTTCATTATTTCTTTTGGGTAACATAATAGATGGGTAGGTACCCATATGATAAGGGTTTGAAGTCAGTCGCAGGGTGTTTCATTCCTGATTTAACGTCACAAGAAATTCTATTATTTTTTCTAAAATATCTACAGTAATATCCGGTATCACCTGTTAAAAACGAACATGTGGAACATTGGATGCATCTACACATTATCCGGTAGGTGATACGGTTGTGAAGAATAAGAAAAAAGGATTAACTGCCTTGTTACTTTCAACTTTCTTATCATCACGAACTTGAAAATTTAATAGCTACAACTATGGAAATTCTGATTACTGGGCTTCTCAACAACAGGCATCTGGAATTTATGTGCCACAACCTGTTGGCGCTCTATACATACATATATGATGTAATATGCAAGTAATGTACCTACATGATGTCTACCTGAGAGTTTATTGCTGAAATTCAATTATCAGCCTAATTAAACAAGCATGAAACGAACTTATAATGTTCAAATTATATGACGTTTATAACCATGCGAATTTATACATCATGGGTCAAGGTTAAAGTTCTCTTAGCTTGATAGTATTGTTTTTGGGGTTTATTTAGGCTCCACGGGAAGAAAAAACTTTTGGGTGTTTCATTCTCACTAGCCACTAATGCTGGTGGGCGAGTAGTCCCTCCGGACTACGCTGGAAGGTAGGGCGGAAGGCCTCCTTTCAGGAATCGTGGGGATGGATGGGTGGTGGTTCGGGTGAGAAAGATGAGACGGACGAAATGAAGACAGAAGAGAATGAAGGATTATCTGTTGAATATTACTCTCCCAGCATTTTCCTAAGTGATCCAAGGAAACCACACAAAAACTTGGACCAAGGCAGACGGACCCGGAATCGAACCGACGTCCTCCCGAATACTAAGCGATGTACTAAACCTCTAGGCTTCAAGGGAGGACGCCACTAAATGCTTACGGAAAATGGCCCTCTATCTAACTTTTTGTAAGTTTGTATCTGGTAGTTCTTGAGGTGTAGATCAAGCTCAATGGACGATAAATCGTAGAAATTTCTTTTTGAGATATGGTCCCTTAAAATTACATTCTTCCATAAGGACTTCCAAGGTAGACGCAGAAACAAGAGTTAAGAGGAATAGAGGTAGACTTAGATTACATTATTGTTCATAAATAGTTAAGGATGTTCTAGTTTAAGGGAAATGCGAAGATTAGCTCAGAACATGAAGGAGTGGTGGTGAGTGTCTAACCAATTTCAGACTGACGACCTTATGGTGATGATATGTTGATGTAATTATACCTATGTGTATTGCATATTAGAGATGGGTCACCGTTTTGGATCAGGGTTGGTAATACACTCTGGAAAAACATAGTACATATCAACGATTTAGTGGAGACACTTACGAACAATGAAAGTTGGTGTACTCTGAGGTGTAATCAGACATCAATACAAAATCTATTGTTTACAGGTGTGTTTGTATCTCATTACATCTCCGACTACCAACTTTCCCCATAAGTATTTCACTATGACGTTGAGGTGTACCTCTCTTTTGCACAGTTCATTACCATCCTTGGTCCGAAACCATGACACATCCATAATATACAATTCACATAAGTGTAATACATATATACTTGACGTATTCAATATGTATAATAGGTACACTTGTACTTTAAAAGTCCTTAAGGAAGAATGCAACTTTAAGAGACCCTATCTGAAAAAGATGAGTTTTTGCGACTTAGGGCCCATTGAGACTGTTGATCTAAACGTCAAGACCTACCAGAGTCCCAATTTTAAAAGAGTTTAACAAAGGGTCATTTTCCGTAAGGATCTAGCAAGGTCCTTTATAGGTATATTTTTCAGTATTATGGTAATCTTTGGGTTTCAACTTCTAATAGAAGAACTGGACAAACCCTCACCAAACAAGTTGCAAGCTATAAGCTTAAGGCGCTTACTGAAAGTACTTCAGTCCTTTAAGCCCTAATTGCATGTTAAAATCCAAAGGCTGTGGAAACAATTAGATCTCTGAAAGAGTTTGAAGCCCTTTGAATTACAAATTACAATATACTTTTAAAAAGTAATTCGTTTACCAAGTAGGTACTTGTTTATGAAATGCCTTGAATTACTAAGCCCTGAATAACTGAAAGCACTGTTTCAAGTACAAGTCACTAAGTAAAGCTCTACCAGGCTCTGCTTATAAGGTATGAGGTATACCATGCATATGAGATGTTATAAAGAATTTGTTTATTACTCCAAATAGATCCACTAGTTTAGAAACTTTTTTATTGTGATAGGTACATAAATCATACTACATCATCACTGACTGTTGATTTTACATAAAAATGCAAGGTATCCCAAGAAATAGCCTCAGGTAAAATGACTTCAAGGGCTGTCCAAAGTACACCAACAGCAATTGTATTGGTTTTTTCAACATTTTTATCTCAAAATTTTATTTGAAAAGGTTAAATAATTACAGTGAACACTATTGAATTCTTTCTTAATTGGTGAAGTAACTCATGCCAAAATATTGACGTGCATAATAGGGACGATAATAAAGTTTCATGGAAAAAGAATCAGAAGGATCTACTGCAGTCAGTGTACGTAGAAATTCTTTGTAAATAGTTAAATCGATAAAACATTGCGAATAAATATCAAAAACTTCTCAATATTCAAAGAAATCTTTGAGACAGGTTTTGAGGACTTTTATTTAATCTTTTTTGTTAGGACACCCAGCAGGTACCTATACCTATGTATACGTCGAATATAACCAATGGAATTTTTGCTTATTGAATTAGGTATCCCTTAAAACTGCTTAGATATTCTTACTATTTTTCAAAGGATTCCAGAATTTAGGGACTTATTTCTCATCACTGGTAGGGTAAACCAAGTCAATGACAACGAAGAAATAATTTTCAAAAATATACTTAAAATGTAAGTTTTTACTACAGTAAAGCTGAGGTAATGTATGTTTCTTTTTTGATTTTTATTAACCGTGGTGATTAAGAGTACATAAAGTAGGTAAATTTTCTGTTGACACACTGAAATCCTTCTGTAAACTGCTATTGCCCAAGCAAAAGCCTTTTGGGTATAATGTTTCACAAGAAATTTTAATAATTTAATTTAAGCATGGATAATGCTTCAATAAATATTAGATTTTAATTTAATCGAACCATTGCCCAAATCTCAAATTGTACACGTAAGACTCACGGTTTATGTACATATACATTGAATCGCTATCCAAATAACT